TTTGTGCTTCAGACTTCTAAATTTTCTCCACATTTAGAAAATAGTCCATGCTTTTATTCTTCTTACCAAAGTGCATGACCTCACACTTTCCCACGTTGTACTCCATCTGCCACTTCTTTGCACACTCTCCTAACCTGTCCAAATCCTTCTGAAGCCTTGCCACCTCCTCAATACTACCCGTCCCTCCATCTATCTTTGTATCGTCTGCAAACTTCACCAGAATGCCCACAGTTCCTTCATTGAGATCATTAATGTACAAAGTGAAAAGTTGTGGTCCCGGCTCTGACCCTTGCGGAACACCACTTGTCATCGGCTGCCATCCTGAGAAAGACCCCTTTATCCCCACTGTCTGCTTTCTGCCAGACAGCCAATCTTCTATCTATGCTAGCACCCTGCCTCTAACACCGTGGGCCCTTAACTTACTCAGCAGCCTCCTGTGTGGCACCTTATAAAAGGCTTTCTTGAAGTCCAGGTAGATAACATCCATTGGCTCTCCTTGGTCTACCCTGCTCGTTACTTCCTCAAAGAATTCTAGCAGACTTGTCAGGCGTGACCTCCCCTTGATGAAACCATGCTGACTTTGCCCTATTTCACTATACATTTCCAAATATTCAGAAATCTCATCCTTTACAATGGACTCCAAAATCTTATCCACGACTGAGGTTAGGCTAATTGGCCTGTAATTTTCCATCTTTTGCCTTAATCCCTTTTTAAAACAGGGGTGTCACATTAGCGATTTTCCAGTTCTCTAGGACCCTCCCTGACTCTGTGATTCCTGAAAGATCACCACTAACACTTCCACTATCTCTTCAGCTATCTCCTTTAGAACTCTGGGGTGTGGTCCATCTAGTCCAGGTGACTTGTCCACCTTCAGGCCAATCAGTTTTACTAGCACTTTTTCCTTGGTGATGGCCATCATACTCAGCTCTGCCCCTTGACTCTCTTGAATTTTTGGGATTTTATTCGTGTCTTCCACTGTGAAGACTGACCAAGTAATTATTCAGTTCCTCAGCCATTTCCTTGTTCCCCACTACTATCTCTCCACCGTCATTTTCCAGTGGTCCAATGTCCACTTTTGCTTCTCTTTTACCCTTTATGTCCTGTACAGATGCAACATGACCCTCCAATTCCTATACTCAATGCACTGATCAAGAAAGGCAAGTGTACCAAACACCATCTTCACTATCCTATCTACCTGCAACTCTACTTTCAAGGAACTGTGAACCTGCACTCCAAGGTCTGTTTGTTCAGCAACACTCCCCAGGACTTTACCATTAAGTGTATAAGTCCTGCCCTGATTTGCCTTTCCAAAATGCAACACCTCACATTTATCTAAATTAAACTCCATCTGCCACTCCTTGGCCCAATGGCCCATCTGATCAAGATCCCGTTGTATTACGAGGTCATGGGACAGAATTTCGCAGTCTCCTGCAGGTGGGTGGTCTGTTAAATTCTGTGGGTGCCTTTCTAGCTGCATTCATTTCAGTCCCCAGTCTAGCATGTCAGGACCACATCCTACCCAGCCACAAATGTTTAGTGGGCAATAGGTGGGATGCCTAGCATGTATGCTGGCTAGGGTCTTAGTGAGAAAGGGTGGAGGTGGATATGTCTCATGGGCACCCTTTCTTGATTGGAGATACATCACAAGGACAAAGTACAAAGAACAAAGAAAATTACAGCACAGGAACAGGCCCTTCGGCTCTCCAAGCCTGCGCCGATCCAGATCCTCTATCAAAACCTGTCGCCTATTTTCCAAGGATGTGTGTCCCTCGGCTCCCTGCCCATTCATGTATCTGTCCGGATTCATCTTAAATGACGCTATCGTGCCCGCCTCTACCACCTGTGCATTCCAGGCACCCACCACCCTCTGCGTAAAGAACTTTCCACGCATATCTCCCTTAAACTTTTCCCCTCTCACCTTGAAATCATGACCCCTAGTAATTGAGTCCCCCACTCTGGGGAAAAAGCTTCTTGCTATCCACCCTGTCTGTACCTCTCATGATTTTGTAGACCTCAATCACGTCCCCCCTCAACCTCTGTCTTTCTAATGTAAATAATCCTAATCTACTCAATCTCTCTTCATAGCTAGCACCCTCCATAACAGGCAATATCCTGGTGAACCTCCTCTGCACCCTCTCCAAAGCATTCACATCCTTTTGGTAACGTGGTGACCAGAACTGTATGCAGTATTCCAAATGTGGTCAAACCAAAGTCCTATACAACTGCAACATGACCTGCCAACTCTTCTACTCAATACCCCGTCCGATGAATGAAAGCATGCCGTATGCCTTCTTGACCATTCTATCGACCTGCTTTGCCACCTTCAGGGAACAATGGACCTGAACACCCAGATCTCACCCAGGACTGTCAGCAATACCCTCCTGACTGAATACCACTGCACTCTCAGCTCTGGGGAGGGGGCGGGGGGCATCTATTCTGCTGATGCATAGGCCAAAACCAAAGAATGATGATAGACATGTCTGTGACATTGGAATCATTGCTTTTCACCATGTTGTTTATCGTCTAGTTGTGGGACAATTCTCCCAATTTTATGAGATGTTGACAAGGAGGATTTGTGGGATTGACTGGGCAAAATCTGCCTTTGTTGTTGTGAATGAACTCATATCTCCACTGAATTGGTCCAGGCATTTGGATTATTGATCTAGTAATACAACCACTGCTGCTGTGATCCATCCAGGAACATTCAGGAGGGTGGAGCTTCTGGCTTCAGCCCTTACAGCAATATTCTGGTATAAAGAATGCAATGTACAATACTTTTGTGGTATGTACAAGTCCAGCCTGTTTGCCTACGGGTTTCCCAGGCTGTCTCACAAATAATCAGGGAGAATACATCACCACCTAAACTGGCTGCCCCACAGTAATTTGATATTTCAAGGAGAGTTAATTGGCTGGAGATAGGACTTCCAGCCCTCGCATGGGAAAAAGTCACACCTCAAAAAGTTGTCAGCCAATCTAATTGGCTTCAGCTCTGTAGTCTCAGTAATGCCACAAACATCAGCGACAGATCTAGGCCTGCAAACAATCCTCAGAATCTAACTCCCAGACCAAGTCTGAAAATCTCAGATTGAGGAGCAGAGGTGAGGCCAGAGGGAGTTGGTGATTGGGGAATGGGGGGAGTTAGTGGCAAGGGGTGGGGGTGCAAGAGAGGGGTGGGAAGGGTTTCACCTGCAGGAGACAGACATAGTATAAAGGGCTGGCTGACGTTGAAAAGAAACCAATGTCAGACACAACCCCTACACCTCATTTTGGCTGAGTCCTCAGAAGGATCATGTTCCGATCCCCTATCAATTAATTTCTCCTGCTAGCCTGAAAATTAAGGCCAGTCAGGAAATGGTCCTTAAATGATCCCTTATTGGTCACTTAAGGGCAGAAGTCAGTGGGTCAGCCTAAACTGTGCCCATTATACCATAATATTGCAGAGAGTTTGGAGCCTCCAAGAGGCCTATGGGAAAGCTCCCATCACTCCCAACTCCAAATTCATCAACAGGGGAAATTAAAATTCTGCCTTTGCATTCTAATTCTGATGGTAGTGTTGAGGGGATTTCATCTCTGTTTGCCTTCACATTTTCTATGCTGGTACAAACAGCCATATTTATATTCTGGAATACACTAGGGATTGAAGATAGTAATGTGTGTGGTTAGGTTCTGCAAGGCACTTCTGATAAAATATTATCTAAGCTGCAGAAGATGTCAGTCTGGTCTTTGTAGAAGATGATCCAATTTGATCCCTTTTGTATACAAGATGCCGAGATCAACTGAGAGTAACATTGTATGGACGTTTCCCATTAGGGAGAAACCTACTGGTTGCAGCGGGTTTCTTAAGGAGGTGTACACCCGACCCCAAGCAGCACTATCATAGATCCAGAAGAACTTTCTCTGAAGACACATAATGTGTTAGCTGAACAGGCAAGTTGGAGAGACCCAAATTTCTTAGATCTGGCATTGTCTTTAGTCCCTGAAAATTAGAAAGCTAAACATTTTGCTGACTTTGGAACCAGGAAAAACTTCTATTATATTCCTACACAGAACAGCTCAGAGGTGCAAATAGCCAGATTTTATGTTTTCTGGTCCATAAAAAGGTCTTGCAAAGTTTCAACTGAAGATAACAAAAGTAATTTCTAACTAAAATTTTGTTTGTAATCTTAGTTTGCAGAAAGTTTATTTTTGAAGTTGATACTTCCTAACAGCATCAGAACAGTGGCATAACTCATGAGAAATTCAGCTTAGCCATTGGAAAAATGTAACTGCCTGTCAACGCAGGAATGTCGAATGTACACATCAAGTTTAACAAAATCATATTCTCTAGACTGTATTGTGTTCTGCAGGTTAGATTATACCCAAAGTCAACTCTGGAATGCAAGATATCTGGATTAATTTCAGTGTGACGTGAAATCCACTTAGAGGGATAATTTCTAGAGTTAGGAATGCATGCTCTCACTATCCTGTCCTGACTGTCATTAGCTCTGCCATGATGTAAATTCAAACTTTTATTGCAAAAGATAATTATAGGGAAATCATGCAGTGGAGTTGTCCTGTGAAAAAATATATGGTATGTTGCACTGGGCAGACCTACTTAATCACATTTTGAATCACATGTTCCTAATATACTTCATGTTTTTTGTGAAAGTACAACTTTAACTATTTGTACCATGATGATGCTTTCATGATGCTTTCCTCCCATGCAACCTTCAACCAAAAACAGCAGCTAGATAAAATTGACTATCACCAAATGTAGTTGAAGTGAAATTGTTTGGAAAATTTCAATATTTAGGTCGACAACCTTTTCTTAATACTGCATTAAGTATATTATCGGTTCTCTTCCTAGTAAAATGCAGAATGGGTTCAAATACTAACATTGACTTGGATGCAAGTATTAACGACACAACAAATATATTTACTATGACGTTAACTCACATTGAAGCAGTGCTCTTGGTAACATTGTTAAACATTAATCCATCATTGCACAGTATAATACTCACTGGTAAGTAAGGCATTCCTTAAGTGCAGCATTTTCTTCTCTGCATTTTATAACCATTAAAAAACCTTTCTCCTTGCAGCATTTGCTAAAAGCTGTAATGACATAGAAAGTTTTAGTCAGTCAAAGTATTAATGCATTGATTCTTGAGATATTTATAGCCAATGTGAGGTAAGGTGTTAATCTTAAAAGTTGATAATGTGTATGGATGAACTTTTAAAGGAGCTGATGAGTTAAATGCAGCCTTAAGTATTATAATTCAGAAAAAGAGAACATGTGGAACCTTTCTTTTCCCTTCCTTCTGTATTGGTTCAGATGGTAACTAAGTCCTTGTTTGGGGCTATTATTAATTCAAGGAAATAATCAATTTGATTTAGGTATTTTACAACACTGACTTGTGCCAGGTAGATAGTGGACAGGCACAGGTGGGGTGGGGGTCAGGATAGAGATAAAAGAGTTACTTGCTGGAAAATTCCTAAGCACTGGCCTCCTCTTACAGTCACTGAAATCACGTGGCTAGCCGAGTACAATTTTGATCAATGGTAATCTGCAAAATGTTAATAGTGGGTGATTCAACCATGGCAATGCCATTGAATGTCAAGGGGTGATGGCTAGATTCTCTTGTTGAAAATGCTAATTGCTTGGCACTTGCGTGGCATAAATGTTACTTGCCATTTACCAACTCAAGCATAGATTTTGTCCACGTTTTGTTGCATATGGGCACTGACTACTTCAGTATCTGAGGTGTTGCAAACAGTGCTGAACATTGCAATAATCATTGAACATCCCACTTCTAATAATAACCACAAACATCTTCATTTGTACCAGATCATTTAATGTTTTTAGCCTGAAGATGTTTTTGATAGGTGACTATTTATACACTAATCACATGATTGCAGTTTTGAAGTTCCAACCGTGTTTTCGTTCTCCATTCACCACACTATTTCTACAATTAGTCACCCACTCAACAACATCCTCACTTTCATCACTGATAAACTCCTTTCTATTGAAACCATTATTCTTTCTTCTCTGGACATTCTCACAAGTACAGCCATCATCTCTACTCCCATAAGTGTAAGGAATGGAGATTTGGATGAGTATGATGTACAACTTGGTTAGCTTTCCATCTGGATCACTTAAAGCACCATCAGGTACTGCTTGTCGGCCAAAACTGCTCGTTGTTTAACTTTCATCCAGGAACACAAAGAAAGCCCTAGCTTCTCCTCTCAACCTGAATCCATAGTCTTAAATTCCTCTTCCATCTCCTTGACTCTTACATCAAAAATTGCAAGGGACTTGTGGATCTGTTGTCACTACGATTAAGATTATTCAATCAATTGCCATTCCCCTACCCTACTGGGTTAAACCTTTTCTAAGGTAAAAGACCTTCACATCTTTCTCTAATTTCTCAGGTCCTCTCCAAATTCATTTTGCAAATGGGATCTAAATCCTGCATCCGAGAGTCTATTCTCAGCAAACTACTGACCACCCAACTTCCATTCCTAGCTCCCAAATCAGCTACTGTTCCCCTTTTGAAAAACCTGTAATAACCACCCCTCAGTAAAAATAAATGCTTGAGCCTACTGTTCCTACACACGACCACCCCATTTACAACCTCCATTTCCTCTTCAAAGTTTTTAAGCATCTCCAAAATCCATATGCATCTTTCTTGGAACTCAATGACTGAATCCCTCCAATCAATCTTTCTAGTTCTGCTGCTGCCATGGTTGAATCTCAAGTCATAAATGATATTCTGCGTAATTGTGACAAAAGTAAACAATCCGCCTCATCCCCTCAATCTGTCTACAGTCATTGACACAGTTGACATTAGGAATTTTCTGAAGAAGGGTCTAGACCCGAAACATCAGGTTTCCTGCTCCTCTGATGCTGCTTGGCCTGCTGCATTCATCCAGCTCTACACCTTGTTATCTCAGATTCTCCAGCATCGGCAGTCCCCACTATCTCTGACATTAGGAATGTCCTGCAAAGTCTCTTCAACATCATCCAGCTATGATGATCGATGCATGCCTGGTTTTACTCGTACCTAATCATAGCCATAGTCAAAGTGTCACCTACAATGGTTTTTCTATTTGACCCAATACCATTACCTCGAGTGTTTCTGAAGGATTTATCCTTGGCCCCTACTATTTCTCACCTACAAACTGCCCCAGAGACATCATCAGAAAACAAGCAAGTTTCCACAAGCAGCTGATAATAGCTACCACTACAGCATCAGCAACCTCAACATCTCCACTGGTTTCAATACCCAACAGAAACATTGTTCCCTAGAAAATAACTCCAATCCTCTTTGCTGGCAACTGCTTGTAACTTTGGTGATACATTTAGTCCCAAGGAGAGCTGTCTAGTACATATCTGCAACACCCATCGATGTCCACACCAACTTACCCCTTAAAAATACCATTACATCTGTGTATGGTTTAATAAATGAAAGCATACAAGTTCATTTTAATGTTAAAACAAAACCTGCATTAATTCTTATATTTTAGGATATTTTCAATTCTCTTCAATTTTGCTGGGAAATGTATCAAGTCAATTTATGTGGTCAGTTAGAAAGTCACAAGTCAAGGCTCATAAATACAGAATTTAGATATTTTGAACTATCATGTAACAACAAAGCTCCTGCATTATTTTATCAAATTGCAGAACTTGAATTACTGAATAATTCAAATGATATTTCATGCAAAAACAACTTTGAATTAACAATAATTATGTAATATACCTCCACAATAATTCCTTTCGCAGATTCGTTCCAGTGTCTTATTTGTGCAAATATGTGTACTAACATTGAATTACCCAACTGATTCAATTTTCACACATGAAAAGACAATATTGTACAACTTTTTAATGACCTAGTTAATACTGTATATATGCCAACAGTAGATTTTAAGCCTTAAATTAGCTATTATCAATGTTTTGTCACTTATTTAACCAGACGGTTTTAATTAGATTTTTTTCAGTAATCTGATAATTTGTTTGCTTGAAGATGCAGCAAGACTGCAAACCAATACCAACATTGTACACTGCATGTTAATTCCAATTTAAAATCCAGCAAATTGCTCTGATTAATAAAGAATGTTAACAAATCATGTAGTTTCCATGTCATTTACTAATAGTGTTCTTCTTGCTTCTTTCCTTCTTCTGCTTCTCCTGCTTTCAACCAAATTTATCTGAATAAGGCAACCTATTCTTGAGCTCTGACACTGAAGTAAATGGAGGAGTAACAAACAGAGCAGGCTGACATTCTTGGCAACTTCCTCAAGTTTCTTTTGCTGGTCACCTCCTTTCGATGACCGTACCATAGGAACATGGAACAACATGAGGTCATTTGTGTGATCAACACATTTTTCTCAAAGAGTCTGTAAAATACATCACATTAGAAAACAAAAACTCAAGCAGGAGTGCTCAACCATAGCTATGATCTACATTCAGTAATTAGGTTGAGAATAGCTACTTGGAGATATCAAAGAATCATCATCGCCTGGAATTCTTAGCAAGATTTACTGCTATTTTCTCATTTTCACTGGGACAAACGAAAGTAAGAATTAGCAAACATTAAAGCGTTATTATACAGTAATTTTCAACCAGAATTACATACGAAAGGAAATTCAATTCAGTAACTACCTCCAAAGGATACAGTTCTTAGAATGGAATGATGATGAGAAACAATATTCTTCAATTCTATTGTCCCCTAGTGTCATTTACTGTTAATTACAGGTTCTTCAATTCAATTTAAAGTAGTGAAACAATAAATAATTTCCCTTTCTTTAAATTTAGGTCTCATCTGTACCTGATATTATTCACCAAAACTGAATTCCAACTATAACAACAGTCAAACTATTGCTTTCTTTCAGGTGCCAAATTTAATAAAAATCCAGAAATTCCTAATTTAAGACACAATATTTAACATACATGGGCTATAAAAGTACACAACGTACATGTTGATTCAAATGTGTGAATTATGGAATTTATTTCACATGCAAAATTACAACTTGACAAGAACTAATTTCCTGCATGGCACTGACAGTTTAAAAATATCAACCAGCTGCAAGCACATTATTTACAATAGAAGGAAGACATATTTTTCCTTTATAATGTAAAACTTCATGTTCTATTTTTTTCACTAACAGGGTACTGAATATTCCAGCAAATACAAATTCATCTGGTTTGCTACTAGGATAATCTGACAAAATATGAAGGCGAATTTTACAAAATGCAACACTAAACTGAAAGTTTGTACCCACTTGATCATACTGAAACCTTAAAAATCTGGCAAACCACTGGAAATTCAGTTCCCTGACTGGCATTATATTAAGTGTGTATTTCCTTTGATCCTAACTTATTGCACTGGATGAATGAAGTAGATTTGTAAGTCTAAAAATAATTTAGTATTTCTCATGTAAACTTCATAGGTGTGCTTTTACAAGGCGAAAGAGGTAAATACCAAGCATTAATGGCTCAAAGAACAGGTTTTTAAAATGTTTTCTGCAAAACATTAAGTGATGTCTTAAGTGGTTGGAAAAGATTATACAACTGAGACAAAGCAGAGGGATTTGAAAACAAGGACCTTGCAGTTGACTAAGAGATAGCAAGAACTGCAGGTGCTGGAAGACAGAATCGATACAGCGTGGAGCTGGAGGAACACATCAGGTCAGGCAGCATCAGAGGAGCAGGAAATTCGACGTTTCAGGTCAGGACCCTTCATCAGGACTCGGGAGGGGGAAGGGAGCTCAAAAATAAATAATGGAGGGGTGGGGCTGGGCGAAGGTAGGAGGGGTGGTAATAGGTGGATGCAAGTAGGGGGTTGTGGAGATTGGTCAATGGGAAGGGTGAGAAGGAAGACAGACAGGTTGTGTCAGGTCAAGAAGGGGGGTGGGGGGATGAGAGGGAGGGCTGGACATGGGATGAGGCTGGAATGGGGAGATTTTGGAGCTGGTGAATTCTACGTTGAGGCTGTTGGGCTGTAAGATCCCGAGGTGGAATATAAGGTGCTGTTCCTCCAATTTTCGTGTGGCCCCTTGTGACATTGGTGGAGGCCCAGGATGGACATGTCACCAAGGGAGTGGGAGGGGGAGTTGAAA